CAGCGGTCACCGGGTAGACGTAAACCAAGCGTTTCGTGTCTTGTATAAAGTAACAGCGAAACACTCCAAGTTCCTGCGTCAACGGATACTTGCGACGGCAAAAGCTGTGGCCATACGACTCATGAACCCGATCTTATGTGCACAGAAGGCCTTCGTTGTGGCCCTACGGCTCCCGTGGCCGAGAACTAGCTCAAACTTTACATGCGTCAGCACACCTTCTAGTAATGACTTTGTCCTATAAATACTGCAATTTCATTAACAAATTTTACCCGTCTCTGCTATTGATTTATACTAAGGTCTTTGATGAAGAATCCGCGACCGATCGAATCTGCTTTTTCCCAAATTGCCTATTTTAAGAAAGGCCAGTCAGTTGTTTTCAGCTTCTTCCATCGTATGTCCTGTACGAGGCTGTTCAGATGTCCTTTAAACATGAGTACCTGATCCCCCTCGATATCGACAGTGGTATCATCCACATACCGCGCTCAGAATCACGTTCTGTGTTATTGGACGTCCAACAACTCTGAAGGTGGCTGTGAACACCAGAAGTACGATGAGAAGGAACGTCAGCCCACTGCCCAGGGACTCCTAGAACTTATTAGGCGTGCCCTCAATAAATTCTGACGCTTCGAAAGGATTACATGCAGAAGAATCCATGACCATATAATTGGCTGCCCAATCTCTGGGTTCATTACCAAGGTCGTCATTTGAAAATACGAGAGACGGTTTTTCAAAGAGTACGATGACGACACTTTTGGCATCATGCAGCAGGATAAGACAAACCACTGTAAAGAGCGATTTAAGTCGATCTTTCTTAAAGTACAGTTTACAGCGGAAAAAGAAATAGTGGGGCCGACTCACTCTCTAGGACATTTTCACCTACCACCACCCTTCCTCTTCGCACTTTCAACTCATGGCTACTGCCCACAGCTTAACCTATCTCCGCCAGTGCCATGGCCTCTAAATGCCGATCGCGGCACGCCGGCGATGTGAAAACGATGAGTTCTAATCATGCGACCTTTTTAAATCCTGCTCAAATTTCCTATTTTTCATTATCAACGCAACTGTGTTGGCCAGTGTTGAATTGCCGAAATAAAATTTTAACCAAATAGATTTTTCAACTTAAACACGGAAATATTCGCAGAACGTACATAGTTTACCCAAATGAGTTACTGGACTCGCAATGTACTGACTCGGGCTGACAGAAAATTTGCGCACTTTCCAACTCTGAATTTACGATAAATAGAAGAGAAATATATAAGAGAGGTAGTGTGAGGAAAGTTTGGTGGTGAGATTTTGAAAATTTTGCCAGCGAACCTGTGTTGTCAAAAAGGTCAACAAGGTCTGTTATATGGGAAGAATGAATGTGGAGTTGAATGATGGGAGGTGGTTTGTGTAGACTAATGTTCATTCCTGTGAGTCATCCCTATGAACCTCCTATTAGTAACAGTTTGGATGATCACGGTGATACCTGCAATTCAACGAATGCTCAAACAGTTGTTTGCGTATCGATCTGGCGAGTTGGCGGTCCACGTGCATCGATGACGTGAGCCTGGCAATCTCGAAGGCGGGAAGTGTGGCCTTAGAAGCATAAGCATCCAGGCAGAACCGGTCAGATTTGACAACATTTTTCAGGAGATTCACAGCAACTAAACCATTAACATCCTTGAGCTGAATAGTTGCAACTCTTGCCATTCTCGCTCCAAGCGGTTGCTGAAATTTACAATTGAATATGTTTCGGATTAATCCTTCTGTCGAAAATGCCATTGAAGTAACTTATATCCTCTTATTTATACGGCAATAGAAACGCTATCGATTACATTCAGAGAACGGTAAGCTAATTGCCTGCGTATATGACGATTTAAAAAATGAAAGCGTACTTTCATGTAGGGGATCCAATGTACGTCTGCATACTTAAAGGAAATTACCCTAAGGACATACATCCGGAGGTCTGCAACGTGGAAAGTGCAGTTGAAGTACACCTTGTCTGACGCCGCAAACTTAACCGCATCCTCAGTTTTGCACGAAAATACCTCCGAGACATTCATGTGATTCATCTGCAGAAAATAGAACACCCCGTTGGAAACACAGACGGATGCAGATGGAACACGGTTTTGCAGCGAATTGAAAACGTTTACGCGCATTTCCTCTTCATTCATTGAGAAAACCAAATGGGATCCTTGGACAATTAGGAAAGAAAAAAAAGAGGGTAAGATAGTTACTTAGAGAACTGTTGTCATCCTACTTAGGTGGCCACCACAATGGGACACTGCCATTCAGAAAACCTGTTTGCCCAATTTATTCTGTCACTAAGACATGATATTCAATAAAGAAAATGAAGAAAATCCTCGGAAGGATTAACTGCTGTGGCTGGACATTGAATAGAGGACTAGGTCACGTGGAAACTATTGCACAAGGCATCAGAACTATCATTACCACATAGGCGTCCATGGCTGTGCAACTAAACACCGTTAGCCCTTCCTCCCCAAAGGGTAATTAAACATGGCTGTAGAATTAGATGCCGGTCAAACAGCGCAGTAGGATATCTGGGAAACCCATTTCACCAGCACAGCCTTGCTTCAACAAATATCTACTAAAAGTAAGTTCTATATGAACACGAAAAACTATCAAAATCTTGAATTTGCGTTCTGAATATATATAAACCGTGTTGGCCTTTTACTGTCTAACATGCTGTTTTTAGGTGAACCGATTAGTATTGCAGTGAAATCGGCTGGTTTCGTATACGTACTCAAAATCCCATAAAGTCTGATTCACAGCTTAATAAATTACATATAAACAACAACATCTACGAAGAAGCCTGCCTTATCTACAATTTTCATTGGCCAAATTTGAGAAACCTGCAAGATAAGAACACTCATTAGAGCCGGCGAAAAAAGTCCGGCTTCAAGTCGAGTAGCCAAACAAATTACAAACTGGAGTTCCTAAACACAACTGAGGATAGTGTTGTTTCCTTAAGATTACAACTACTAAGCTAAGCACTCGGTAAAATAGCACTGTAGACATTTGAAAGGCTCCCCACAACCTGCGTCTATAACTGTCCACGACTGTCTTGTGAAACTACTGCATTTTTGACGAGTAATTCTTGACAGACTAGCTGTGGGTAAAAGAAGCGGAAACAACTGAGCATTCTGAAGGTCAAATGAGCTTTTCGGGTTCAGCATGTTTGAAATTTACACGCTTCGCTTCACTATGATAAGGTAAACAGGGCCAAACCACAAATGGCAAGTCCAGCGACTACGTCGAATTCATGCAACTTTACCCACATCAACTACAGCGTTTTCCAATAATTAGTACAACTGTATCATCAGTTTAATTGAATGCACGCTTTGGCACTTATAGCTTTATCAAAACGTGCCTTTCGGTACTTAGGTGCTTCAATTAGAGATTAAAAATACGGTGTTTCCAAACAAAACATTAAGGGCAATGCGTGTACAAAGTACTAAAAGCCGCGTGTACAATTCTTGAATTTTGAAAATTTGACTGTACAAATTTGATTGTTGAATTTCTCGGGACAAATACGAATGGCTGAAGCGACTTAGTTATGTCGTAGTCAGTAAAAACGGAATAATATCAAGTAGAGGGGTTTATATTTCAGCTGCGATCATATCAAGTAAGCGCAAAATTTAGTGTTCAAACGAAAATAATGTGTTCGCACTAACCTCCGTTTACTTGCGTACCATTTACGGCAGACCCGTTGGACGCGGCGTTTTTCCTCGTTCCATTAAATTGAAACGGTGGAACTTTCGTTGTGTTCGTTGCAGAGCAGTCTGCTCCCTGCAAAAGGGAACCGTTTGCGGTTTTCTCAGAGCCATTTGGAGAAAATGGATTGTAAACGAGGAGCAAATTAGAGGGTAAATAAAACAAATTACGGATCGGTATATTTAATTGTTGATTAATAACGAAACAGTTTTGAAGCGCGAATCCATACGATTGACTGCATTATCACACAATAGGAAGTTACTTTGATTAGAGCTGAAGTAACTTTCTCTGTAGCAAACTGCTTGCGCGAAATCAATAAGATGCAAGTGCCTATAACAAATTACGGCAGGATTATATTTGGTAGCGCACATATGTTCTAATGTTTATTTAAATGCTTACTCAAACGCTTCCCGTAAGACAGAAACTTGGGGCATTTTACATGCGGTATCACTATCCCAACCGAACCCTAACCCTAGCCCTTACCCTAACCATAAAACTAACCCTTAACCTAACCCTAACCCTAAAACTTAGCCTAACCCTTACCCTAACCCTTACCCTAACCCTTATCCTAACCCTAAACCCAGCCCTTACCCTAACCCGTCACCTCACCCTCACCCTAACCATAACCCTAACACTTATCCTAACCCTAACCCTTACCATAAACCTAACCCTTACCCTAACCCTTACACAAATTAATTGTGTAGGCATTAAAATATTAATAAAAAATATGTGTGTTACCAAGGAAACTCTTGCCCAAATTACTTCAAATCAATTTTCTGCCTTCCAGATGATGTTCACTAAAAGTTGTGACGCTCAATAATAAGTTAATATGTAGCAAAATAGCAGGACTTTTATAACTGAATTTTACTGCAATTCCATGAGGAACTATATTTTGAGGTACTGGCAGTATCTTGTAGCATCTTGTAGCAAAATAATAAATACGATCTGATGGGAAAAGGTAATAATACTATAGGTGTTAATCAGATAATACAAATGTATTAATAGTCGTTACTGTGCATCTTTTAAATACAACCGCAAAACACACCACTGGATGTAATCAGACTTATCACCCAAGAGTATCAGTTTAGAAGGAGACTCGCATACCTAGCCCTCGACATAGGGCATGAAGGACAAATAATGTATGCCACATTGCTGTTACTGATTCAGCGATCATTCTTTGTTTGATTCTAGCAAAAAAAGTCATTTATATTTGACGTGATTTCTGCCGTAGCCGATCTCTTTGAGGTCAGACGTGTCCATCTGACCTGCTGGACAAGGCCAACGTGTTATTGAAGGAAAAAAAAGTCAGGTGCAGTAGGCTATGTCGCGCATGGCATAAAGTCAGGTTCTCTTTCTCAAAGCATAACAACAAGCATCTCCAACGACTCCATTTTCTGACTTTGGTCATGTGGTATCTCTGGCCTCTTGGTCACTTTGGGTTCAACACTCGAGCCCGAATATGATTTAGAGATAATGTTAAATGAGTATTCTCAATCATAAGCCATACATGTCTGTTCCCTACTGCCTCATAATGTTGACTTCATTTTCCAAGACGTACGATGTTTTAACCTGTGAAATTCCATCGTTTGACCAGAGGCTAGTAGGGAGTTTGCATAGCAACAATTGCAGAACGATGCTCATCTGATATTGCTGTTTAACTGTCAAAAAACCCAACCGTAGTATGTAATGCGCATTCCAAAATCTCTGCTTATTTCGATTCTCAATCTTTCCCTTCAAATGTATGCCGTTGTACAGTTCCAAATTTGGCCGAGCGCGTTGTCTCAGATGCCCCTATCCCAAACGCATTCTATTTATCAGAGACTTTACAACTAACAGACAGCGGTTAACACAGAATGCTCATGTCTCATAGCTCTGAAATAATAAGCCAAAGCAGGTCAAACTGTGCATTTTAATCCAAAGGGGCTTGCATTACCTATGCTTCATAAACTTAAGCCTTTTTGGAGGCCCCAAAACATTGAAGCTTCCATGGGAGTACTTGCATGACAGACTTGCTGGAATATCAGTTACTGTTAAATTGAAGTATTCATTGTTAATACCCTCAAACATGGGCCATACCTTTCTGCTTCGTTCTGCCGTATAAAATGGACTTGATTTTACACGATGTATCATGCTTTAACTTGTAAGTGCTTTGTTTGATGAGGCGTTGGTCGGTAAATTGAAGAGTAACTATTACAAGGCGATGCTCGTCTGGTACTTTTGTTCCATCCGCCAAACCTAACCACAACACGCAATACGGATCCCTATATTCCTATACTGTTTACTAAATGCGATCGCTAATATTTTTCAAGTTGGTTAAATGCGTTGTCTCATATATAATTTTCCCAATCGCCTTCAACTTATTAGAGACTTTACAACTTACTCGTAGCGGTAAAGGCAAAAATGCTCATATATAATAGGCATGAAATCATAAACCAAAGCAAGCTAAGAGAGAATCCGCAACATATTTTGGGGAAATTTTAGTCTCTCACTCATGTCCACGAGTTAGCAAAGCTTTAGGCCTGGATAAGGGGCGGGTGGTGGTTAAGGCAGAAATGCTCATATTTCATAGCTATGAAATAATAAAAAAAGCAGGTCAATCTGTGCATTTTAATATAGAGAGGGTTGCATAAAGCCCATTTAGAGGCATCAGCATATTGAAGCCATCATGCCAGTAATTGCGTGAATTTTAGGTGTGCCTTGGATAAATGTATAAAGGTTCATGAAAATGCAGGCTATGTTGCTTAAGCATTATTACCGAAAAAAAATGCAGAGAGGGTGTCCTGTTTGGGTGTCGGAATTATGCCTGTCGTAGTCATCAAAGCAGTGAATAGATTAGCGGCCGGCAGGGAAATATGCTAACTGCAAAAATTGTAATCAGCATTTTAGGTCAGTAGTCCAGGATCTTTGGATCAGCACTCTATACTCCCATTCCTAGCACGCTACCTTGCATGGGCAGAAACGGAAATTCAGAAACTGAAAACACACCTGTCTTCGAGGTATTTTATTACCTTTCTCTTTAGTTTTATGGAATGGAACCATGTTTTTGCTGGAAATATTGGATATTTACTTTCAAAATAAAATTTTTTTCTCTTTCTTACTCAGAGGGACAAACGGCTTTGCTTTATACAATTTAACACTAGTTCAGGAAGGTTTTAAATTGAGCTGAAAGTCAGCCTCCTGCGCGTCTGCAACATACACGCAGGTTCCGTGCCCTAGCAGTCAACAAACACCATACAACTAATAGCTTAGGGTTATACCACTTGTTATTCAATCGGACTATGCTACTGAATTGTTAGGCCTATATACTAACTAGGCAGCATACATTAGCTCTGTTTTAAACATAACACTGAGGATCTTTTTAAATTTTTTTACTTCATAGCACCGACTGTGAGATCTGTCACTGAATAAAAACTGACTTTTGTTTTGACGAGGAGGTGTT